CAGTTTGATGCCGGGAATTCTGGCACTTACTCGGTTATATCTCAGTAAAATCGATAGTTTTTTCCACTAATATGCAAATTTTTGCAATCGAGTTTAGTGCATAAATTCACCAAATATTTAAGTGCACTCATATTTGCATAATTCCGAGCTGCAAATTTGATTATATGCGTGATTATTTCACTTACGTTTGAACTTTCGAAATTTTTGGGGCATAGGGTATCATTTTCCGAATTTTTGTGCGTTTGACTGGTTGCTTCTCGTAAATTTTGTCAGCAATGTTCCACCCGGTGTGCGAGTTTACCAAATTATTATTGGCCAGGCGAATCTATGCGGTTTTTCCGATGAAGCATTTGAACATTCGCCTTGGGCGGCGGCAAATTAAGCGTTCAAAGTACTGTTTTTATCCCAGAAATAGTCAATTTTGGCTGCCAGTTATCACTAAAAGCTATTGAATGGGAGGAAAATCGCTTATCAGTTATCAGCAAAAAGTCATGTGGAGATTGAACGGATGGAATCTGGGAAAACTTGGCTGATGTTAAGCAAAAATTTTGGCTGCTAGACTGTGGAAGTCTGGCCTCACGAGGATTCCTGGACTTATTCTGTTTACGAAGGCACACAGCTAATTATTCTTTAAAAAATCGTGATTTTTATATTGAATTCGTTGCGTCTGTTTCTTATCATTCTGTAAATGCTTCTTTTTTCCCCGCGATTCCAGCTGTTTTAGTTTTTATCAGAAATTGATGGGCTGAAGGCGAAGCTTCCGCTCCCTTCTTCTCCCATTTTTTTAATCTAGTAGCTTCACCATGGCGGGAATGTACTAGCTAGAGGGATGGAAGGCATAAATTTATCCTTATCTCTGTTCTTTGATCTCTTTGGCACACAAAAATTAGAATATGATTTTGCTTTTTTTTTCTGCATTTTTATCCTACTTTTTTTTCTGTATTTCCAGGCCCGATATTGCGCAAATGGCAGCGAAAATTGATTCGCTGAAGAAATGGACCGTTTCGACGTATAAAACAACAAAACAGTCCATATGTGAAAATCTTGGAAAAGTAATAAATATTTACTCTAACTGTCGTCAAGTTTTTTTTTCATCATATTTACGCGGCAATTTATAGTTTTGTTTTTGATTTGAAATATAATGCGAACACCTTCTGGACAATCAGTTGCCCCAAATTAGCCTGTGACGCTGGAACGTTCTCGCATATTGGACAGGTCGATTTCAGGCTTTTCGATCCTGAGAAGCATACCTTTAGGATAGTAAGCAAAAACTGTTCGATGTCTGCAAATTTTTGAACGGCCATTTGGTGGATGTTAACTGCAAATGATAACAGTTGAAATGAACCCCAGCACTTTGCTTGCTTCCTCGTAATATCATTAAAATGGCATCTCCATACCTTTTTCTCGGGACCACCCCTGTGTTTTTTCGTTAAAGTCATGTTCTGCATTGTCTTAAAAAAATATCTCAGTACCATCATTAACATGGCGCCTTCACATTGCTTGTCTGGGACACCTCTGTATTTTTTGTTTTTGTTATTATCTTT